AAATATGCTCCCACTAGGCGTACTACCTATAATTTAACATGAATTTAGAAAATGATGCTAAATATTATTCCTGTAATTATCTTTGAGTAGTCGATACAATTATAAGGCTCATAATTTAACCAATTACCTTTCAATTCTTTTTTTACCATATTTCTTGTTCACCATACACGAATATGTAACTACCTTTCTTGTTCCCCTTGTATTGTTCAGTTGGCCAACCATTGCTTTCTTCATTCTATGCTTGTCAACTACAATAATACATTATTACTCATTTCAAGTCTGTACCTACTCAAAGTTAAAGTTAAAGCAATTTTGGAAATCTCTCTTGTTCTCGTGATAGATACGTATTTTTACACTAAAAATATTTGTGGCTAGCTTAAAGGAATTGGCAGTGTATACATTCCCACAACAGAGATAACTAATACAAATTTTAAAAAAAATAGAAGAATTAAAAAAAAAGTAAAATAGTGTTCTGCAATTCGTTAACTTTGTAATTGTATTCCACAAAATAGACTACACTTAAAAGTATAATAGTGTCTAAGTCGCCCAGAATCAAAACAATTCCAAATATTATTGTAACTCATTTTTTGTGTGCAAGATTAATACTATATAACACATGGTTGATGTCTATACAATTTTTGAATTTCGTAAAATTATGTACGAGATAATCTTTTTGCAATAATAATAATTTTAATATTAACATTTATTATTATTGTAAAATAAATACTTTATACGGAGTTCTACAATACAACATTTGGAAAATTCAAGTTCTCCTAGTGAAAATATGTATCCATTACCCATTATCCTCTGTACACATTGTGAAAAGGATGTTCATCGTCTGTTACACTGTATTATATATTTTGTATTTGTTCACGTGTAACATGATGTTTTGAATATTAAATATGATTTCGTATCCATACCATAGCAGAACATATTAAAATAGAAACAAAATTCGTAATACCAGATAAAAAAAAAAAAATTTAGTATTTAAAGATTGCAGTCGTTTAACTTATAGTGGTGCACCTCGTTACTGCACCACTCCCAATAACAATTGTTTAAGTGATACTTAATTACTAGTTTTGAATAAGGCAATTTCAGGTCACGTCTTACATTTATTGAGATCAAATCATAAAATTATAAACAAAATTAATATTATTAAAAAACAAGATAAATACAACAAAATTAGAACATGATAAATATAAAAGGGTACAAACACAATAAACAAGATAAATAACAACATTTACAGAACAAAATAAGCATAATAGTACATGAAAGGGGTATAAACAAGTTAAATAGCACAACAGTTAAATAGTTCATCATCATAACCAGACCCACGGCGGCGTTTGGTATGGAACTTACATATGTGACGTAGTCGAAGTTTCACCGACAATAATAACTTCCCCGATGCCTTCTTCCCATAAAAACTCTGCTCGAAATGATCCATTGTTATATTTTTTTTTATACAAGTTAAAGAGAAAATAATAAAGTACAATATAGTTTATGCGTATGAAAAGAAAAATAATAATTATCAGAACAAGTTGGTTACGAAAATAAACAAAGCGATGACCGATGTCTATGACAACAAACATTTTTTACCCAATGCCAACCTATGCAGTTTTGTTAATTGGGACTATAAAAAATGTATTATTTTTATATGTTTGTGTTTAAGACAGTTTTATACCGACGGAATCCCATATATATTGTGGCCAGCTACAACGTACATTTTACCTTAACACCAATGCATTAAGTGTGTTTTATTGCGAATTTTACAAATTCCACTGTACGCGTTTTTAATCAGTGTTGTAGCGACAGAGACATGTGCGCCATCTTTCAAAAATTATTTTACTAACAAAATAATAGTAATATACTATATTTCTTAAGGAAAGAATGACCATTCAAAAGAGCTATAGTGAGCAAGGTAATTAATAATATTAGGTGTCTCACAAATACATTTTTGGCTAAGGCTGTCGTTTTTAATAATATGTTTTACTGTCAACTTGTTGACTATAATACTCACATACACACTCTGTACACAACTTTATGTGCAATTAAGATCTGTATCTACAAATTTCAGAATTGTGTTTTCCAGAACTTCCTCTGTTTCTATTATACTAAAAGAACAATAAAATATTTACCTTTTAAACAAGCTCATGTAACAGTCAAATACATTAAATAATTAAAAAAAAAAAATTCACTGCAAATTAATGAATTTTATGAACATCACGTGTATTAGATAAAACAATTACTTGCTACTACAATTTATTTATTTGAAATTAATATTTTATAAAGACAGTATTATAACTACCACTAATATATAATTAAAAATACTAGGCATAATAGTTCTTTACAACTTATTTTTCTCTATTCGTTAATTGAAAAAAAAAAATGATTTACAATGATAATATTATAACTATTAGATATTCACTAGTGCATGTATAATTAAATCACATACGTATAGTTAATATTAAACTACAATCAACCGTGCATACATTATACTAAATACTACATTATACAAATATAATATTTAGATTGCCCGACTGTTATTTATAATATGGACCTTGGCTACATGTTATGTTTTTGTTTAACTGAATGTATTAATTATATTTCTGAACACAAAAACGCATCAATCGGTGAAAAGTAAAAAAACCTAATCAAGAATCGCTCATAAATAACGTTAAAATATCTCGAAACTTACATCTAAAAACAACAGCTCCAAGTTGATGACTCGGTTCGGCCTGGCTTTAATTTTCAACTGATTCGCATTATTCATTGCCAAAATTATCAATTTTTGAAAACCATATACCCATCGCTGTCCAGTCGCAACTATAAAAGCAGTCTATTCAATAGTCCGTCTTGTCATATAATCAACCACTTGAACTAATATGACAGGACGGACTATTGAATAGAATTCTTTCATGTATCTGAAACGATTTGCACATATTAGAAGATAATAAATCCTTACAAATGCACATTTTGATAATCGGATATTATGATTTTCAATTCTTCATACATTTGAGTTCCATCAGCTACAGTGACGAAAAACCATAGTTTATAATTAAAAAATGTACGTTTCTGAAATTATATAATGTTTAATTAATTATTATATATTAGCTGAAAATTACTTTAGTTTTAAATTTCAATAAAAATAGTTGTGTATTTTTATTTTTTTTTAAATTTATTAAAATAATTTAGGCATCTAGTAGATTCAGGGAAAATCCTAATCGATGACCCCAGATGCTATTGGTTTTACAATGGTGTGAGCTTTTTTTTGTGTTTGTGTTGACTGTCGATTTTTTAATACTGCACCAATTTCTTCGAGTAGCAACTCTATAAATCACAAATTTTATCTAGATATTATTTTGTGGGGAGGGGAGGTAGGGGAAATCTCAGAATCTTAAGAAAAAAACAATCAAATCATGCCAATTTTTTTATGGAAATCTATATTAAAGTGATCCCAGTGAGTTTTGAGTACTTAAGTACCTGTTTTAGATTTTAATTGAAATTTTGACGGGAATTGTGCAAAATCAACCGGTTTTCCGCCAAGGTTAAAAATAGAGCAATATTTAGTTGAGTAATAACAGATAATTTAGGCAACTAATAAATTTAGGTGGTCAGCCCCAATAGTACAATATAAGAGATCTTGAGTAATTTTAGTACAATATGCATTTACTTACTTTTGTTGATTCTGTTATGGTCAAATTTCTTTAATCCTGATATTATAGTTTCATGTTCAGCAGCTATTGCCGTGCAAATTGTGAAATAAAATATATCAAAACTAAGCATAAATAAGGCAATCGTCGTGACAAACGAATGGATTCAACGACATAAATAAGGTAAAAATATGTTTTAAGCTTTAAGCAATATTGTAGTAACTTTAAAAACAAAACTATAAGCGATAATGCAATTATTATGGTGATAGTTATAGCCTATAACTATATCCTCAATAATTTCATTATCGCTTATAACTACATAATAATCGCATTATAGGTCTTTTTTCATATAGTGAAATAAACGATCGACGAATCTCCATCACTTCTACCAATCCGTGTAATAGCCATGTTTCTCCTTTCGAAACACCTGAGACACAATAAATGTAAGCACCTATAAGTGTACATAAATACCTACTCGTTAAAATGTCGCTGAAACGTTGTAAAATATGTATTTGAAATTTTTATTATTTAAAATAACGTATCTACTTATTGTGTTTACCTGACCAAAACGGAAAACCTAACTCAACCTTAACAACGACGCTAATGTGAAAATATAACTGCCAAACGGACACTTGAACACGTCGACGTGAAATGAAGAAAAATATTGAAAAAACATGCAGCTAGCAAAGCAGCTTAATAATTTATTGATGCAAGCCAAGACAGCATTTCCCTACCCTATTTCTACACACGCTACCATTAATTATTTGTATAACTTTGAACCAATTCTCTTATAATAATTCAAGACGACCTAGAAATGCACCTACCTATTAGGTGCTTACGTTCATAGCCTCAAATATTGCAATAATTATTAACAGGGCAACTGTTCTTTCGTATTGCATGTCAGCGCATTATGTTATTGATCGTTATAATATTATACGACTAAAATAATGATATAGCAATAAGTTCTAATTGTTTTTTTAAAAAATTTTGTAGTGTTCTAAAGAAAAATTGTGTCTCCAACATTTAAATTAAAATTAAATCTTATACTGGTACTGTGTTGGAGAAAACAATAGATTTTACTTACATATATTACTTACTAGTTGAAAATTACTAACGTTTATAGCCACTAACTGTTGATGTACACGATGATGCCAATAGAACAAAATAACGCTATTTTGTTCGTTCGTCACATCTGGTACATCGCGTTTGTAGTTAAAAAAAAATATTGAAAGTTAAAAGTGATACATGAGTATCAAAACTTAATAGCGTCATTTTGCATAGATCTTCCCCACATTACAGAAAGCAGATATCTTCATGCACTATGTGTTTGTTTAACGGTAATCAAAACTGTTTATCATTGAATAAATAACATTTATTGACAATCCTGATATTGGTGAGATATGCAAAAACTATTTAAATATAATAACAATAGTGTTATAAAATAAATTATCTATAACACATTTCTACACCGAATTATTGTATCTGATCAGCAAGTGGCTGAGTGAGCAAATTGTTGGACTTTATTTCCCAAATTTGGTCATTGATGTATCTGTATCTGATGTCAGCAGTGTTATTAGTACCGAGTGTACAAATATCATAACGAAAACTAGCCATCACTACAGGTGAACTTGGGTGTTGTACACTTCTGAACAATCCTAACAATTTACACAGATTTCGAAGACCGAATTTCGTAAAATATGGATCCTTTTCATTTCCTTAAAAAAAAAACCAAATTTAGCTCATTCATTAATTTATGGATCTGTACGGATATTTACTTATTACAGCACTGAGTACAGTTTTTATAGCTTCTGTAGTTATTCTTCTTCTTGCACTCCCTAGTTCTTCGAGAGTAACGTCTTGATATTCGGCTTCAAAACAAATACACACAAAAATATAAAATAAATAAGTTGCTTTTGGTAAAATTGCATAACATTTTAATACGTTTAGGTTAGGTATCTAAAACTAAGTTTACTGGCTTTTTTTAAATATAGTCTAATAGCCTATCTAACATTTTCAACAGTATTCTTAATGAATGATTCCTAATGTGTCTTGGAAACAAAACTAGTAGAAAACTTAGACTAACCAAAGGCAGCCTCAAAAAAAATATTTATATAATGTGATTGTGCTTACCTTCGTTTATCGCGGGTACTATGATAGCTGTAACCAAAAATATAAAATAAATCTACTGTTAAACAAATAACTGTCTAAACATAATATTGTTATTATCCATAACAGTCATTCTAATATCGAGTACATATTTTAGAGTTTGGACAAATTAATAAACGTTAATTAAAAAAAAAAAATGGTCGAATTGAACTAAGGTTTGTAAGACTATCAATACTTTAAGATAAAAATCATAAAGGATTATTACTTTGGTAAAATGTTGATATTTAATTTAATCAAATTTAATAATAATTATTTGTATAAAAAATGTAAACTTTATATTTACCTACGATAGCCTTTATTTCTCCACGCATAAGGAGCTGGTTCCCTAAATTTACTGAAATTAAAAACAAAATAATTTTGTATTGTAAGTACATATTTTTTTACGATAGAAATGATTATGTAGGTAAGTATACGATTGTTCTCAATATAAATGAATCATTTACTAAGAAAAAAAAAATATACTTATAAAATATATAACATAGTAAGATTATTACGATTTCCGGAAGAGTCTTCAAATTCTGAAATAAGAATAAGAACATTTAAATTCAATAAATAATACTAAACACAACAGTTACGCTGACATATTTCCATAAAATGTATTACCCGGTACTGCCAACATTAAAGATATTTTCTCTAAAAAGTAAAATCAACACAACATTATACAGTATTAGAGCATATAGATTAGAGATAATGGACTAAAAAAAAGAGATTAAAGATAAGAGATGAGAGATAAAAATAGAGTGTTAATGAATTAGAGACATAAAATTAGATAGAAAAAATTGATCAAATGATAGATTAGAAAAAAGAGATAAAAATAGAGATGATAGATAAAATATAAGAGATTAGAGATAAATATAGAGACAATGTATTAGAGATAAGATATTAGGGATAAGAGACTAGATATAAAAATAGAGATAATGTATAAGAGACAAATTTTTATTTTTATTAAATAGTAATTGTGGGATGGTTAATGTAAAAAAAAAAAGTTTATAGGTTGCTTTTCTCCGAGTTATTGATCTCACAGTGATAATCATATCCGCATTGAATGTTTGTCACCCATTATCATTATATTAGTATATTATTATTATTTTGTCTCTACAGGGTGATTCTTTTATCATTGACCAGTCAATCTCTCACTGGGTTTAATTAATAATTGCATTTTTTTTTTCTAATGTGTTTGTAAAAGTGATCTCAATTTTTCGAATTGTTTTTTGTTTCCCCCCCTCCAACTTAGTTTTTTTGATAGCAACTTCTGAAACTTAAACAGTAACGTACATATTTGATTAACTTTTTAAATTTAAAATAATTTACTAAAATTTTTGACTGGTCGATAACCAGTTTCGGATAACTATTTTTGAAGTTATTGAAGTTTCAAGTTTAGGGCAGGAAGAAAGGTGGAGTGTGGTTTTATTTAATTTTTTATTAGTTGTCCGAAACTGGTTATCGACCAGTCAACATTTTTTAGTACATTATTCTCAGTATAAAAAGTTAATAAAATATATACCTACGCTACCATTTAAGTTTCAAATGTTGCCATAAAAAAAACTTGGGAGGGTGGTAAAAACAAAAATAAATTGTGAAAATTGAAATCACGATTTATGAAAAAAAAAAAAAAATTTAATTATTAATTAAACCGAGTAAGATATTGGTTCATGATAAAATAATCACCCTGTATATAGTTTTATTTTATTTTATTTGAATGCCAACTCTCAACTCCAACACAAGCATAAGCTTAAATGAGTGGAATATTTATATTTTTTGTATGTAATATTTGTTTTTGTGTATGTATGTAGATGTATTAAAAATATTAGAGATACTAGATTAGAGATAAATGAGAAGAGTTAATTAGAGATTAGAGATAAGAAAAGTACCAAAAATGTCCAGGGTCTTTCACTTGAATTTAAAGACGCTACATGTGCCTTTGTGTCCGCTAATACTGGTAGTTTTTTTTTTAGATACTTACACCTCCTAGTATGCTATATCATTGAATTTTGATTTATTTGTTTTATAATAAATTATAATTACCCATCGTGTATTTTCCATTGACAACGGTGTTTCTTATTATGTCCGGCATTCGATCTAGAATAATCATATAGTGGTTAAACTACAACAAACTTGAGCATTTTTTTTTAAATTAAAAAAAATCCCCTTTCACAAAGATAAATACACCCTTAACAGGAATTCTTCATTTTGAATAAGACAATACATTTCTTTTATAATAATAGCAATTTTCGAGACACATTTCTATTGCCTTACTGATATTAAATTAAAAAAGTTTTTTAGCCGAGTCTGCAACCACGAAAGAGCATTTTCATGTCTCGTGAAATACCGAACAAATTTAAATTAGTTGTAAAATTATAATTTAAAAAAAAAATTACATGGAGCTTCCAGCATAAGCCAAGGAGATTAAAAAATTATGTACAATCAAATTTCTGGCTAAAATTGTAGTGTTTATTATCTGGCTTAAAACAATTCATAGAGAAATTGGGCCCTTAAACTGTTTTGAATTTATTATTTAGTTCTAATTTGAACGTTGAACGTACAACATATCTCTTATCTCAAATCAGATAACAGCGTAACAGATTAACATTCGAAATAAATCCGAAATGGTCATTCCGATAATTGTCTTTCGTCGTCGCTTCGTTGTTTTTGTTACATTGCGGCGCGTAACAGCGTAACGCTTTTTTGGTAACACTTTTTTTCGGTTATTTACCGGCTAAATCTCACCCTTATCTCCCACCCCCTATTCCACTCCCGTCCTCAACCCTTTCGCTTTTTTGACATTTTCATGTCTTAGCTCTGGCACATAACCGAAAAAAGCGTTACCATAAAAGCGTTACCAAAAGAGCGTAACGAAAAAAGCGAAAGGGTTGGGGACGAGAGATAGGGGTGGAATAGGGGGTAGGAGATAAGGGTGGGAATTAGCCGGGACATAACCGAAAAAAAGTGTTACCAAAAAAAGCGTTACGCTGTTACGCTGTTACGCGCCCAAAGGTACCAAAGGGATCCATTTCGAATGTCAATCTGTTACGCTGTTATCTGATATGAGATAAGAGATATGTCGTACGTTCAACGTTCAAATTAGAACTAAATGGTAAATTCAAAATAGTTTAATTCTCTATGTTAAGTTATTTTTGGCCAGATAATAAACACTACAATTTTAGCCAGAAACTTGATTGTACATAATTTTTTAATCTCCTCGGCCTAATGTATTCGGTACTTCAACGAGACATGAAAATGCTCTTTCGTGGTTGCAGACTCGGCTGAAAAACTGTCTTTTTCGGTTTTTCTTTACGCTCTTTTGGTAACGCTTTTTTTGGTAACACTTTTTTTCGGTTATTTGCCATAGCTAATTCCACCCCTTTCCCATACCCACCTCATCTTCAACCCTTTCGCTTTTTTCGTTACGCTCTTTTGGTAACGCTTTTATGGTAACGCTCTTTTCGGTTATGTGCCAGAGCTAAGACATGAAAATGTCAAAAAACAGATCATATGCAATCTTTTACCTTCTGCATCGGCACGCTCAATTAATTTGTCTGTAATAAATCATATAAAAACATTATAATTAAAAAATTTATTTTGTATGGAAAAAAGAACGTTGACTGACTTGTTATGATAACTTGTCTCGTATATTCGTCTGTTCAAAACAAAAGTTAATTATTTAGGTTTTTTTATACATTTTTAATACCTCGTGTGGAAGATATTGTAAAAATAAAATATTCACCTATAACTGCTACCATTACATTAACCATGGCAAACGGTATTAAAATACATAAAAATCTCATTTTTATCTGCAAATAATACAAAATATTCATTTTTTTTTTTTATTAGACAAGGTCACTATTTCATTAGCTTCAGTGCATGGCTAAGATTCTACAATGCATTTTTTTTTTGTTTATTTAATTTTTGTAACTTAATCCACTATATTTTAAAAATTGGGAAAATTCTAAGGCTATTAAAAAACTGTAACGATAAAACAATTTTGCTGTTTTTTTTCTCAAAATTAAGAATTACATTATTTTAAAAATAGAAAAAAAAAATGCAAATTTGTATGGTGTTTTTTTGTTTGGTCCTGTTTCAAAAAAAAAAAAACAAAAAGGATATCTAGAGTTGCCTCTAAAACATAAACAATTATGGCCCTATAAAATTCTTTATACCTTTTAACATACAATTAGAATACATGCATTTAAACACTTAAATTTCAATGAAGTGTGATAGATATTTTTACTTTTATCCTTTTAATGAAATTAACCTCGCAGTCAAAAAGTTATTGCAGGCAGATCAAAAAATATGAAAATGAAAAATTACAAAATCGTACTTACAATATTCCAAGTTTTGTAGCGTTACTCACTTAAATAATTTTTGAGATGAAAGAGGTCAATTTGATCAGTTTGTCAAGAGAACTGTCTTAAAGTAATTTTCTTGTAACTCGTGTATATGCTTTTATGGCAACCGAATTAGTAAAACCTAAGTACGGTTTGCAGAGTGTCTATGTTAAATTATCTACTTATCTGTTTTTTTTTATTATGCTTACATATTTGCAATACGCTGACGCATTGTTTAGACTATTTTATTTTTTATACTGTTTTTGTGTAAATATCACTCAATAAAAACCATTAAATTAGTTTAAAAATGGATACAACGATTAATTGCAAAAGTTAAACAAATAAAAGATATAATAAAAGACGGTTGAAAAACCGGTCGTATTTTTTTTTTTTTTGGTTTTTCCAGGTGGGAGGAGTTGACTTTTTTAATTTTGATCCATATATTGGTCTATCAAGCATAAACACACAAAAAAAAAAAATCTAAGCCATCTTCTGTGACTTATAGTTATGACTCATTCGCTGTAACTAGTGTTTTCTCTCTCTGTTCAAAAACTAGTAAGCAGATATCTATTAAAAACTGTTTATTAATAACCATAGATAAAATTTATCGACAACTCGGACGAGTTAGTGAGGTATTGCGAAAATTATTTAAACATAATAACAATAGTACTGTACAATAAGTTATCCTTAAAAATGTCCGGTCCGAATTATTGTATCTGATCAGAAAGTGGCTGAAGTAGCAAACCGTTGCATTTTATTTCCCAAATTTTGTCCTCAATGTATCTGTATCTTATGTCAACACCGTTTCTAAAAACTATTGTACAAGTACCGAGACGCATATTAGCATTCACTGCGAATGTACTTGGCCGTAATGCACTTCTGAACAGTCCTAATAAACGACACAAATTTCGACGTCCGAATAACTGGATGTTTGGGTTGTTTCTATTGTTTGGATCGTTATCAATTCCTTGAGAAAAAAAAATCACCAATTTTAGCTCATTTGTTAATAGTTTTCTTAATTTTCAATGAATACATAAATTATATACGAGCATTTATATAATGTTGAAATAATAATTAATATTCTATATACCAGGAAGTACCTATGTCGCAATATGTTGTTTATCTTTATAATACAAATACTTAGCAAACAGGAAAATGTTACGGGGCTCGTTCCAACTGTAAACTTTATTTATACCATATTATGTGTGTGTCCAATACTTCACAGCCTACAGCCGTTGGAAACCCCACCATTCTTTTTGGGACACCCTGTGTAATCTATTATTGTAATTACTATACATATGTATATTTGACAATAGTTATTTGTTATTAATGTTATTCATTCAAATACTAATTCCACTCGCTTTCACTCTTTCACATGTTATACGGTAAATGTTAATTTCATCAAATAGTTCGTGGAAATATAAAGACAATTTATTAGATTTGACTGTCAGTCGACAATTTTTTTAATTGGGGCAACACGGCTGAACATCTTTTACAGTGGACTGTCACATTAGGCTACCCGATACCGCTCGCCTCCCAATATGATCAGCGTGTAATCCAATACAGGTGGCTGGGGAGATAACGGACACAAGGGACAAATAAATACACTAAAAACACACATTATTATCTTTTAAATAATTTAGAATATCGAAATTGAATGTTGCACTCGTCGGTTTCTGTAATTTGTATCTTCTGTTAAAAATAGTTTAATAGTAGGCAAGAGAGAAATGCCCCTCCCCCCCAAAAAAAAAGAACAAGAAATAATAAAGAATGCAGCGTATGAACCCATTTTATTTAATTTTTGAGTTTTTGTGTCTACAACCTTCTCTTATGGCATTGCATACCTCGAGCAAATCCAGGTAAACCAGCTTGTATACATATATATATATATATATAACAAAAAAATTGTATAAATAATATACATGGATATTTACTTATTACATCACGGATTAAAGTTTTCACAGCTTCTAAAGTTATACGTCTTCTTGCATTCCCTAAATCTTGGAGAGTAACGTTTTCATACTCGGCTTAAAAACAAATGAATTACCACAAAAATAAATAAGTTTCTTTCGATAGAACTGCATAAAATGTTAATAAGTTGTAAATTTTAAAAACGACCGGTCCTTAGCACATAAAAAGGTAAATTATTGAGCCAAAAATTAAAAAAATCTTTTCTTCTAAAATGCCAAATAAATGTCCATAGTTTCCAACTTAAAAGTGCGTTATAACATTATTAAAAATAGTCTAACTAGTGTATAAGTTGTACTGATTATTTCCTAAACACAATATTAATAGACCAAACAGCAGCCTAACCGCAGGGGTCGTTTTTTGCCCCATTTTGTTCGACCAAACACTATCTCTAAAAAAAATCAAATATGATTGTGATTACCTTCGACTATCTCAGGTGTTCTGAGCGCTATAACCAAAAATATAAAACATCAAATAAACATTGAGTCTATCTATACATCTGTATAAATTTACTAACACTAGCGTTAAGTATTAAGTGTGACATCATTTGTAAGGCAAACGTATTAAAATTAAACATAAATTTATCAATTTATTTCCACTATTAATACCAGCAGAGACAAGGTTATACTTGTCAACTGGAAACCCTAGTATTGACAATCCAAACAGACTCTTTTACCGCAATTGGTCCAGAGGTCTATTCAATACTACTTATCTTAACTGAATTACTTATGTGCAGGTGGTTCTACTGAGAACCTCCTCCCCGCTGCCACAGTGGTCTGAGAATGAAATTTAGGAGGCAAAAATAGGCCATTAAAAATGTTCAAAAAATCAATTTTTTTTTTCTAGGATCTCATTAGTATATGATTACTAGTGTAAATATAAAATTTCAACTTAATAACATTTTTTGAACTGGAGTTATAGCTAAGTGAACTAAACACATATTGTTTTTTCTGTTATTTTGAAAATAAAAATGCTGATAATTAATTAATTTTTTTTGGCTATTAAAATATGTAAAATAAAAAAAAAAAATGCTTGATTATTAAGTAACATATAAAGATTATAAAATAAAAAAAATATATTTTTTTTAAATTTAAGTCCCTAACCGGTTATGAATCATAAAAAAAATCAAACTTTTTTTTTTTTTTTTCAAAGACTTCAGCTAAAATTTACTCAATTTTACCCTAAACCCAATATATGCATTTTATAGAAGAAGTTCTCAGCTATAAGAATATATAATTTTTTATTGCGTCCCGTTGCATCTCCAACGCACAAAAATCGTATTGCCATAAGAAATGGTGTTTTTTTAAAATTTTTTTTAATTAAATTAAATATAAAGTTATATTGAGAAATCAAGTATTTCATTTAATCAGACATTTTATGAAATATAAGTTAAATATATATTAGTTTTGGTTTAAATGCTTATATTTATATCCGAAAATTAATCCTTTAGTGTAACATATTCGTCGTTGTTAATTATAATTAATGCAAGAACGTCATTAGAAAATTCCTCGGTTTTTTTCTTGGCAAATTTCTCAGCGATGATTTATATGGATCAGATGAAACTAGTAATATATTAAAGTGATCTTCATTGGTGTGTTTTTTACAGACTTTCCGTGTATGGTGTTCTCAAATATTTGTATAGCCCTTATTCCTGGCCTCTGATATTTACTGATTACCCCCTCAAACAATCCATCACGTCTAGTACTTGTAAATAAAAATTTTACATATTTTGTTATTGTATATTTATTTAATTGTATTTAATTGTATACAGATAATTAATTTTCTACACAAATTTTAAATTAAAAAAAAACACCATTTCTTATGACAATATGATTTTTGTGCGTTGGAGATGCAACGGGACGCAATAAAAAATTATATATTCTTATAGCTGAGAACTTCTTCTATAAAATGCATATATTGGGTTTAGGGTAAAATTGAGTAAATTTTAGCTGAAGTCTTTGAAAAAAAAAAAAAAAAGTTTGATTTTTTTTATGATTCATAACCGGTTAGGGACTTAAATTAAAAAAAAATATATATTTTTTATTTTATAATCTTTATATGTTACTTAATAATCAAGCATTTTATTTTTTTTATTTTACATATTTTAATAGCCAAAAAAAATTAATTAATTATCAGCATTTTTATTTTCAAAATAACAGAAAAAACAATATGTGTTTAGTTCACTTGGCTATAACTCCAGTTCAAAAAATGTTATTAAGTTGAAATTTTATATTTACACTAGTAATCATATACTAATGAGATCCTAAAAAAAAAAAATTGATTTTTTGAACATTTTTAATGGCCTATTTTTGCCACCTAAATTTCATTCTCAGACCACTGTGCGCTGTTCAGATACTGTTTTGATATTTTCTCAAATTTATTGATTATACTCATAGTAAATAGTCTTATGAACGTTAATTTAAAAAATAAATGGTCTATTTGAACTAAGTTTTGTAAGATTATCAAAAATTTAATCGAAAAATATAACGGGTAATTGCTTTGTTATAATTTTGAGAATTTATTTAATCAAATTAAATAAATGTTTCTATAAAAATTTTAAAATTTATATTTACCCAACAGAGCTCTTATTTCTCCTCGCATATCGAGCTGGCGATATATGTTTACTATAATTCGAAACAAAATACATTTCAATGTAAGTATAACATTTATTATGGCAGAAAATCAACAATATGTATGTATATGAAAACTCTGTGTAAAATATTATAAATATCAAATATATATATATATATATATAAAGATTATTACGATTTCCATGCGAGTCTCTAGTTTCTGAAATTAGAACATGAACATATTATTTTATACTTAATGAATATCGATAAACAGCTATGTTGACATATTTTCATGAATAATTAAGAAATGTATTACCCGGTGATGATATCATTAGTGCCATTTTCTCTGAAATTGACACAACATAACAGTATTGTTTTACGACATTAAATTACATTTTGTATCGTTTAATAAATAAGATGGCGGAAGGCAAGTAAAAAAAACCCATATGGGTTGTAAATTCGGAAAACATTTTCTTTGGATTTATTGTATTATTTTATTTATAATTTAATTATGATCACCCATCGTGTAGCTTCCCTCGACAATTATGTTTCTTATTATTTCCGGCATTCGAGCTAGAATAATAGCAATACTTGACGTTATACATAATATAGTTAATAGATAAGTAAAATTGAAAAAAACAAATTTAATCACAAAAAACACCACACCCTTAACAGAAATTTTTCATTTTGAATAAGACATTTCTCTTATAGTAATAGCAATTTTCGAGACACATTTCTATTGCCTTACTGATATTAAGTTAAAAAACAGACCATATGCAATCCCCTTAACCGACATTCCATTTGGAAAAAATACCCATTCATTTTAAACATATTTTACCTGCAGCATCGGCACGCTCAATTAATTTGTCTGTAATAAATCATATAAAAACAGTATAACTTAAACATTTGTTTTGTTAGGAAAAAAATGTTTACTGACTTGTTATGATAACCTGTCTCGCAAAATCGTCTGTCAAAACGAAAGTTAAATATTTAGATTTCTTTTTTATACATTAATTGTACTGACACGTGGAAGATGGTGTAAAAATGAAATAATCACCTAATACTGCTACCATTACATTGACCATGGCAAACGGTATTAAAATACATAAAATTCTCATTTTTTAACTGCAAATAATACAAAATATTCAATATTTTCATAATAGACAAGGCCACTATTTAATATAAATACTAATTAGAAAAACATACTTACAATATTCCAAGTTTTATAGCCTTAAATTATTATTGGAATGAAAAAGGCCAATTTGATCAGCAGCTTGTCAAGCGAATTGTATTAAACTGTTTTCTCGTGACGCGTTGATATTATGCTTTTATGATAACCGAAACAGTGAAGTCTAAGTATAGTGTGCACAGTTCCTTTGTTAAACTATTTACTTAGATGTTTTTTTTTTTTTTTTAATATGCTCACATATTTACATTACACTGATGCGGTGTTTAGACTCCACTATAGTTGGATATTTTTGTGTAAATATTATTTGTGAAAACAATAAAAAAAAACATTAAATTAGTTTAAAAATGGATACAACTTGCAAAAGTTAAATTAATACAAAAGACACACAATTTCAACGCTTTCGGTCAGTCGACTTCAGTCAGACCACTTGTAACTCGTAACACTAATTTTTACATTTTAAACGTTTAACCGTTTGATGATTGTTTGTTTACAGGGTGATTGTTTTAACGCTCTACAATGGTTAACTGTTAAAATAAATGCAATTTTCTAGTGTTTCTTACGGTGCAGTATTAAAAAGTTTATCTTTTTCAGTATTTTCTAGAGCTTTGTCAACTCGTGTGAAACTCAAATGGCAACGTTTATACATATATTTTTGGTAATTTGCTAGTTGGCATCTAAAATTTGGCTCATAATTGTACTCAGACAGGCTAGTATAATATTGGTTCGACAAAAGCTGTATTAGTAATATGCACATAATTGTTTGCGTTATTAACACGTGCACGTTGTGTGCGAGGACAGCACAAGCTCGACATAATATAATATTAAGCATTAAATCCCATCGATTTGTACTAGAAAATGTGAAAAAGATTCGTACAAAAAATAATTATTTAACGTCGCCTTATGTCGAAGTACATAATTATTAAAATTAATGCAATTTATAAAAGTCGAGTATGTATTTATCATAAGAGCGCTCAGAAGCCAAACCGATTGACTCCAAAAAATTAATTTTTTCAGTACCGGCAGTTAAAAGTTATTTGAGACAATGTATGTAAGTACAATTGCCAATGTACTCAGCGCACTCCAGTGGTGAAAAAATTCAACTATGGAGTTATTTATCTTGGCCGCTGAAAATTATTCACTTTTTTAATCCAACCAAGCTATTATTCGCAATTTGAAAAAAAGTGGAGTTAATCGGATTGGCATCTGAGCGTCTCATAAGTATTTCATAAAACTGCATGCACAGAATACTACTACAATTTCACTTGTATACATTTATGTTCTTTCTTGTTTCCAAGGACGATGATTGTAGAATCGTACAACGACATATTATTCTTATTGTAAAAGGTTTAAAATGAAATAAAACAACATCCTCGACGACGTTACATACAACTTCTACATCATCAAGTCTGGACCAGAATAAGGTACGTGATAATACCATATAATAATGACTTTCGAGTAATAATAGAATTAGGAAAAATGAATAACACACACACACCATATCTCACATAACGAACTTTATATTTCCATTTCATCTCTATATTCTCTTTTCCTATTTTTTTTTATTATTGCATTAATGTAACGTTATAGTAATGTAATACCGCTATACTTAAGGGGATTGTTGCATGTGGTTCGTTTTTTAAGGAGTTTTGTATAGGCAATATTTAAGAATAAAAGCAGTAAAAGTGCAAATTGTCAAACTTATGTAGTTGTGTTGATGGTAATAAAATAACTATATCTAATCAATAAATCAAAATTCCCCCGAAAAAAAAAATATGTAAATCTCGCATAATGCCAGGGTAACATTATTTTTTTAGTTATTATAAACTTAATTTTAATTGTTAAATTATTACTAGTCAACAGACGGCATGGCAAATATAAATTCAAAAAAACCGTTTGACACACTTAAACCGAACGGCCGTGTTATTTATTTAGTAGACCAGTAGGTAAATCTCTGACGGATGTTGCCGAAAACTAATTAAATCGTCCAAATATTAATCTTTCTGTCTTATGGAAAAAAATTATTCCTCTTACCGTTACGAACACAAAACGACAAGCGCTAACATTAATAAACTTAGTTGGTATTTTTTTTGCATGTTTTTCTTTTTCGCCGGACAGACATTAATTACTTCAAGTGGTTTGTTTTCGTTTTATCAAATAAATAACGCTAATGCGTCTTGTTCAAATTCCGCCATTCGATCTTCACTTTCTCAAGTCGGCGAAGAAAATTAATTTGCAATGGTCATTAGTCACAAAAGGTGTTTTATATTTTCTAAAAATACATATTATATACATAACAGTATTAAATGTTTTAAATTTTGCTTTATTAATTGGGCGTTCAAAGAAAACCAAAGTGTTAAACATACTCATAGTCACGTATCTTTTGTCTCTGATCACTCATCTCTTATCTCTTATCACTTGTCTCTTATCTCTAACCGGAAGTAAAAGTGTGCCGCAAAAATGGTGACATGAATTTTCTTGTATCCAGCCCAATAAAATAACATATCCGTGTTAATTAGACTGTATTTAGTTTCACTCGAATGAAATATTTTATGAAATTTTAGAACCCTATTTATGATAGGGATACTTGTATACCGTTTCTATAGTTTTGATCAACTATAAAAAAAAACTGTTGTTACAGTATTATGAATGTATATTCCTATATTTCATAATATTCATATAGGAATAATAATTTTAATAAATATTATAATAGTACGCTGTGTTGAGTTTTATTGTTTTTAAGAAGTCATGTGAACTTTTTACTCGTTATTTATCTATTGGCATATTTTTAGGATTTGGGTTTTTTTTTAAATATACATTTCTTTAAGTATCAAACGAAAATCTCCAACTAGAGTTTATTTATCAAACGTTTATACAAGTCATTCAAATGAACGTGACATCTTCTTATTAGGCATATCATCGACTAATAATAATTAAATTGTTATTATTTTTTTTTTTGGCGGAAATGAGTCTCAGTCGGAGGCACGAATGAGAAATCAGCTGACAGGTGATGTGAAATTATGCGGTTCTTTTTAGCAACGTCTCGACGGACGAACAAAAAACACAAATTGTCGTTACACTTAAGATATAATAATTTATTTTTACTAACGTTAACACCAGCTGTTGGAATATTAGAATTAACAGCTTACCTACAAAGGACAAACTACGAGAGCGTGGAAAAAGCTAGACAGTATTGGGCACATACAATACACACATACACATAATAATACATTAGTTATTGTCATAGTTTTATGATTTAACACTATTTCGATTTGTGTGTTACTGTTGTTATTATTTTTTTTTTTGTTCAATTACAATAATATTTTGATGGCCGAGACGACGATAGAAATGTAATATAAACATAATACTGGCACGGTTTGTAGCGTTTTAAGAACGGTTTTTTTTTAAAGGGTAAATGCTTTAAATTTTGTTATTTGTCGCTAAATGAGGATACTGTCTGCGCAACAGGATATTATCCACGGCCGGCAAGAGTAGAAACTTCTTTGTTTTCAGCCCGTTGGCTTGCGTCTGGTCGGCAGCTGGTGGCGACGGGTTGGACCCTGGTTCCTCATCTGACCTCCCAGGATCCTGGACGTTCCCGCTGCAAACAGATAAATAATGTAAAAAACAAAAAAAAAATCGTTTTACAAAGTAATCAAACATATTTTACAGTAGGTATACCGGTATAGTTTTAATTTCAAAGGAAGAGGTCTAGTTTTCAAAACCTAGTTATGTTATCTCTTTTTACTTATTTCATATCACTTATCTCTTATCACTTATTTCATATCACTAGATAAGTGATACTTATCACTTATTTCATATCACTTATCTCTTATCACTTATTTCATATCACTAGATAAGTGATACTTATCACTTATTTCATATCACTTATCTCTTATCTCTAACTTTAAGTGTAAATGTAACGCTAAGATGGCGACATAAATTTTCTTGTATCCAGCCCAATAACATATCCGTGTTAAAAAAACAAGCTACCGCCCCGCTTTGGTGCTAATCTGTAGATATATCAAAACTGAATAAAAGCTTTGCAAAGGCCAAGATATGCTTAAAATTGTATTCATAGTATAAAAACAGATTAGATAAAACTAAATAAACGAAACCCTCCTCAACTTAGTGCGACCACATCTTAAAAATAAAAAAATATATATACAATACATTTGATTAAAATATGTCATCAGAAAAATTGTCTATAATATACAGGTGATAACAATTAATAAATTCAGTGATGCTTAGTTTTGAAACGATAATTATTTCTCATAAAGATATTTTTTTCCACCAGAGTTGAGTTGAGAAGGGTTTTGGTCTGTTAAAATTTTCAGAAATTGCATTGCTTCAATAGGAAATGTACCATTTAGTTTTATTTTATCTGTGGTTACTAGGGTTGTTACGGTCAATGTTGTTCATCCATCTTTCCTAAAAAACCATTGCCATTAGGCAAATCGACAACATAATTAGGTATAATAATATAAATCAGACACCTGCAAGTTTTTTTTTTTTATCATAAAAATTGTTTGTTAAAATTTGTAGCATAAAAGAAAATTGACAATAGTGAGGTTAGTGTTGGTTGTGGATGTAAATTGAAATACCAACTAAATGTTTTACCTAGAAAAAAATCGGGAATTTTTAAGCAGAAATTGAAAAAGTTATAAATAAAATAAACCCTTAACCACGTGGTTAATAAGACAGAGCCGTTATTATATTTCAAACAACTTATTTTTAATTAAACATAATATAAAAAAAAACCCAGATTGAAAGTACCGTCTGTCGGCAAAATCTTTAGAAATTATTGTTCAAAATAAACTTTGCAAAATAATCGACAACAACCAATATAATGTAATTGAAGTTAATTAACATTTAAGGGATATAATAATAGTATGGGAACTTTTTGACGGAAACTCTCGGCCGAGTGAACTAAACTATGGAGTGGAGTAATTTTCATTAAGTACAAACTATGGCGATTCATCAGATTGCATTGTCTGAGATATATTTTTTTTTTTAATAATATAATAGCATAATATTGTTATCAAGTTAGAGAGTATACACCACTGTTGTGTGTCCGCGAGATTAAAGGGTGTTTTTTTTTTTTAATTACTCGACTAAAAAAATTAATTAGTTTTTGTCAAAATTAATCTGGCAGTTTTGAACGCCCTAAATGAAATAACGGCATTTTAAGATTTTCACGGTGCGCCGAGTGTGATTAATGGCGCAATCTAAACCGAAAGACCATAAAAATAATCGAATGGATTGTAATGCATCAATAATAATTATTATAAGTCAGTTCCATTAAATTTATTGGCTGCGTGGACATTATGCTACACCGAAATAGTAACAATAACGGAAATAATAAAAAAAAAAAAAACATACCGTACAAATTTCAACAATAAATTATACATATATAAATATATATATATGGATATTTTTTTACAGGAACGCTAATACCCCAATCAAAATGATTTACAGTGACAATTAATTGTACTTTTTATCGACTGGACAATGTTGTGTTGATATATTTTGCAAAACGACAGCCCACGTTAGTTTGTGGGTTCAGTTTCCAAGTGACCTACACGTTAATAATATCTATTGTATTTTTAAAACATGTTCACTGAAAAAATAATAAAATGGCAATTGAATTAAATAATATATTTACCTAAGTGGAGTCAGGAGTGAATAAGGAATGACGTTGTCACAAAACTGTGATAAGCGAAAAATCAGTTGATCGTAAACAGTGGTATTGTTATCAAAACTTTAGTAACCGATAACCTGGTAACCTAACCGTTATCAGTTGAGCGTTTCCCTTCCAAACTTCTGTTATCATTTATTCTTGACAAACGTTGTGAAAATATTTTTTGCATGTTATTTAAGGTAAGACAATTTTGATGTATTATTTTTCTTTAGTTTTAATAGAAATATCATCTAAAACGTGAGGATTTGAATATGTATAGAAAAATCAAAAGGTAATTCAAGTTTCATACGAACAAAAATGAAAATACTTTCTCTAATATCGAATATGTTAAAGTAAAATAATATTGAAATATTTAATAACCATCTCTAATAATATACAATCGTTCAATATTCAATATAAATTAAGATAATATGTCCAAAATTTAGACTAGATGTAAGCGAATATAATTATATTTTATATCCAGATAAACATAATATTCGTATTAGCTATACACTGAAAAACACAATATAACAGCAGTTATGTATAGATTTTTTAATACTACTGAACAATTTTATTGAAAACAATTAAAAACTTAAAAAGTAGTTTCCCTATTACTTTACAAGGGTTTTAAAGTGATTTTCATTATCCCGACATAGGTCATTTCTACTTGTTTTTAAAAACAGTTAAAACATGTATTTATTTATTTTTAAAAACCTGAAACTTATTCACGTTGTCCATTACACGTGTATGATTCAATTGTAACTATTAGTAAAAAGTTTAAACTATTCATTTTTCGGAAAACCAAGTTTATATAAATATAATTGTACTATCTGAATAATATAAAAAGTGTTAATATGTTTCGCTAACATATTCTATATTATAATAATATCAATATTACAATATTTAGAACAACATGCTTTTATACAGCAAACTCAAAGGAGGAAACTCTATTTTAACTTTAAACCATAATATAAATCACAACCGGTAAATGTAATATTACTAAAACAAACACACAACGGCCAATTTATCGATCGTTTTTTTTATCATAACGAAAACACGCTTTATGAGAATTGATTAAAACTAAAAAAAATTAATATTTTAAGGAACCAAAATCGTTTGGACAAACAAAACCGTATTGTTTACGAGCTTCGACGGAGTGTTCTTTATAGTTAATAAAGTTATTTTATTTTACAAATTTTTGCAACACTGAAGTTTAGTTTTTTGGACCGTTAATAATATTGCCAGTAAAATGTTGTTTTTGTAAATAATAGTACTGATTTGCATAACAACGACAAACATTTTAGTATTCATAAAATAAACACTCGGCCTAACTTGTGGTACTTTTTGAATCCCCCAAAAAATTGTTTGTTAGTCAAAAATGTTAATAACCGTATAAGCTCTCTGATAAGTCACTGCCTGATGGATCACTCTGTATAAAATATAAGTAGTGTCTATTTAATAATATTAATACATAATATAATATAAATGATTTGTGGGTTTTGCGCACAAGTCAAATCGACTTTGCGAGTAGTGTGAGTTATGAAATGGCTTGGTCGGACCGTTTTCGAATGCAGACGGATATATTTTTGGGACTTAAATGATATTACACATTTTGAATACTTGCCTCTTGCATATAACAGAACCTTAATATCGACCAAAATCCGTCTCTTAGTTATTTACGCACACATTTTAAAGCCAAACGTTTTTCCAAAATCATTTCGTCTTATCTAACGTAGCCAGATTTTCTATAAAGTGCGTTCGAAATAAATCGTATACAATAGGTTGTAGTGAAAAAAGGCTTAGGTAAGTAAAAAAAAATGCTTTAAAAATATTTTCTCGGCCCCAAGTCAAAAAAGTAATATTCAGTAAAACGGTTTAGATTTTCCATCAAAATTCGGAAATTTTCTATACTTCAGAAATGAAAATAATATAGCTTTTTAGGCAATTAAATTGGGTTTTGAAAGAATGCATACTTATATTAGTTTATAAGTGTGTATATTTAATAAATATTTATTTTGTTTTATCAATATTCACGGGTCTATGCCCAAGTTAAATCAGCATCTAAAACAGTACCTACATCAAATGATAGAACGATGAAGGCACAAGTTACTTATAATATTTAAAATTTAGAATTAAAATAAAACGACATGCATACTATATAGATATTGTATATGGTTATAACGGTCCACGTTGTTGCTTATGAGCTCTATCCAATCATAGCGATAGAATAAGCAGACATGTTTATACTGATCATCAACATGTGCACCAAACGGTTACCAAAGGGGTTCCAAACAAAATATTTATTTAAAATCATTGATTAAACATCTACTATCAGAAATACTGATAACACAATTTCGTTTGCTGTTAAGGCCACTGGAAACCGACCGTTTTTTTTAGCCAAAACACATCATTTTTTGCCCATCGCACAGGCCGAACCAACGATCCGATAAGCAATCTAAAAATAGATATGAATTTGTCATTAAGTTTACTTGAGATCGGTCAGAGTATTTTTTAAAATTTTTCATTTTAACCCTTTCCAAATTTTATTTTAAAATTTGAAATTTAATAAAATGTTCAAATGTGTTTTATGTGTAGTAGGAATAAGATATCAAAAAAGTACGCTGACCGATCTCAAGTAAACTTCATGAAAAATTCAAAGCAGTTTTCAGATTACTTATCGCATCACTGGTTCAGCCTGTGCGATGGACAAAAAATGTACTATTATATTAACTAAAATGGCTTTTACTCATAGAAAAAAAGATTTAAATTAAAAATAATACCATGAAGCTTATACAAATTAACCGGTAAATAATTGACATTTTCGAAATTTATTAAAACCCCTTTTTTCTTTAATTTTGTTTATACAAAACTCCTTAAAAATGGTCGGTATCAATTAACTTCTGAAAAACGTCCAATTTTGT